TATATATATATATATTCATCATTTAAGAGTGGATTAAGTGAAGTAGTTGTTTGTTTAAGTGTGCATAAAAACTTCCTTGTCCTTTACAGGGTGTTCCAACCAAAACAGTCCCCCGGGGATGGGACATATGATAAACGTTCCGGGAAGGACCAAGTGTGTGGATGTTTATTGTATTTGAATGTGGGGGTATAGTTTTGGGTGAATTAACTAGAGTAGGATATATTTATTGTCAATATAATTTTTCCAATTAATTTATAAAATTGTGTCTACTATCTAGCAAGATTGTAAGAATGAAATGAACACCTGTTGATGGTAACGTCCAATTAGGTTAACCAGTGACGCAGTATTTAAGGCGCCAGTTTAGTTGCTGCTTGGATCAGCTTTTGATGCTGTTATTTTGTGTCCTTGCTGCTATAAAAAATAATACATGTTCACATATATGATATACCTTACTATCATTTCATGCTCATTTTCTACTGCATCATCCAGCTGCTGAGGGTCATTTCAACAAGGATATAACCTGTGTGTTAATGCTCTGCCTGTCAGAAAGTTGAGTCCAGAACAAATAATCTCTTTTGTGTGATCTTCGTGTTGGATCCAGTTCTTCTCTCAGCCTGGATCTGGATCAAACTACACCGTCACGGGATGGAGCTAGAATTTTCTGTGTTTTTGAATTTTCTGAAATATTTGTTAAATAGTAATTTATTTCTCGACATGCTTGATCAATGTGATGTATTTCCACATAAGCATGTTTTCACCTTAGTGGAGATACAAGGCAACCAAACACGAAGGTAAATCTGTCAGCAGGCATATGAGCTTTGCGCTCCCTTTATAATTACAACAGGTCCTGAGTTTAATCATGACTTTTCAGACAAATTGTATATTTCATGTTTTAATTCACAGTGTTCACAGTTTTGGAAAAGGTTAATAGGGAACATTTCAAAATGTATAAATTAATAAAAAAAGACTATTTAAAACATAAATGAAGTTGTTGACAGTCCAGTTCAGTCTCCTCACTTAAGTCTTTAGTTTGTCAGAATCCACCTTTAATCTGTGGCTTTCTGACGGGCAAGATCCACCCTCTTTCCCTTATTTGAGCAGGTTTTGTCAACTGGCACCTCCTCTTCGTCCCTCTTCCTCTTCTTGTGTGAATGATCCTGGCTGGAGTTGAAGGGGGCAGCTTCTGGCCTGTTGTCTATGGTAAGGTCTCTCACCCCTTTTAACAGCTCATAGTTTTCATGCCTCTTTCTCTGGCCCTTTAGTGGGCCCGTTCGGCCACTTTCTCCTTTTCCACTGACTCCCAGTCGTGCATTCCTTCTGACCTTTGCTTGGGACTTGTCTGGTCTGTGATGAGGACAAGCAAATAGTTCAACTCTCGATCTTAAAGCAGTGGTTTGACATTTTTAAAAATGTACATCCTAAAATGCACTTGGCTGCAGCTCCATAGGTAATGAGAGTTTTATCATTCTTTCCATCTAACCCTAACCCAAACAACAAGAATATTTACCAAAATATTAAACTATTCTTCTACAATATAAAATGATCAAAACAGGGAGATATTTCAAACACTCACCTGTTGCCACACTCTGCATTCACTTTTATTGTTCTCTTCCCAATGATGCTGAAGGTCTGCAAGAAGGAGTGCTTCTTATTGCTCATCCCAGCAGGGTTGCCCTCCTTGGCTGGACCATTCAGGGATATTAGCAGGATCACCTGGTCACCATGTTCTCCATCGTCAGAGCTCTGATCCTGGTGGATGTCCATCACATCCTTACACATTTTCATGCTGGAAGACAAATGAAACGGCTGAGCCAAACACCTTAATCTCCTCCACCTTAAATATTGCTCTCAACCTTTTACTCCCTCCAACACTGTAATTATTGTAATAACATACTTAATCTGCTTAATTCAACAACTGTCAGGTGGAAAATATTCAATTTACCTGGGAGTTGATACAGGGAAGGTGATGTCCATTTGGGTAAGAAGTCTACTTGTTAATCTCTGTAATCAGGCAAAAATGTGTAGCCAAGTGCTCCTCACAATAGGTTAACGGTAGTGAAGTGATGAGGCTTTATGCGTGTCTTTATAGCTCCTCATATGGCATTGTTGTCAAACTAGATCAAAGCAAACCTTTGATACCTTTGATCAACTACATGTCTTTTATGTATTTTATGTAAATCTTGGTCAACCATCATGATTTAAACAGTAGATGGCAGTAATGCACCTTGACGTTGTTTGCCACCCACCAATAAAATAAACAAAGAAGAAACAGAGGAGGATCATGTTATGTTACAGAAACACTAACACGAGGCTCCACATATATTCAGCCTGTGTTAGGGGTCTAATCAAAGTGATTTTCAGTCAGTCTGGAAACTCTGCTAAACTAAGTGTGTTTTATCTCTTTATACAGTGAAGGCAGCACTTCTAAAATACACATTTAGTTTCCACTTTATTAGGTACAGCTCAGAGACCTGCAGTTTAATATAGTGGTTGTGCAGTCAACCCGAACCTTCATGAAGGTTATTACGTTCAATTGTTAATGAAACTGTTTCAAAAAGCTGTTGATGAATCTAATGCCTAAGTTCAACTTCAGGGATGTCTCAAGAACATCAAGGCCTGGAGGACCCAGAACTTTTACTTCTAAATTCAGACAAAACTGACGTCATAGTAATTGACCCTAAACACCTCAGAGAAGCACTGTCTGACCCATAGACTGTATATAAAAAATGGACATAGAGTCCGGCTCCAGAACAATAAACCTATCCTGAAGTCCATAAAAGTGTAATACCATAGACTCCATAGACATTCAAAAAACGTCAATTTCTCCCATGAAATACTCTATCGTTATTAATGATATATTAGTATTAAAAAAGCTGTAGATTTAGGGGCGTGTCTGTTTGATTGACACACAGACTCCAAGATGATTGACAGGCAGCAGCTTAGACGGGTCAGACTAGAGAGAGATTCACCAGAGGAAAAAAACAGTATGTTTTTTACATTCGATTTCTATGATTACATTCAGTTTTATGATTTCTCCTGGGCTGAGGTTGTTGAATTCCTTGGTGCCAGTGTCTTTATTTCTACTTTAATCTGATGATTTAATTCTGATGTGCTAATGTCTGTTACCAACGAATTCATTCATCCTTTTTCTATTTCTCTCTTTGCTTTTGTATGTTTTTTTTACCTCCATAAATCTACCAGAGGCTGACGGACTGAAGCTTTAGTTGATTACTCTCAATGATTGATTTGAATAAAACCAAATGATGCTGAAAAATGAGTCCATGCATTTGTTACCTCTAGATTAGATTACTGTAATTCTTTATTATCAGGATGCCCCAGGAAATCTGTAAAAAGTCTCCAGTTGGTCCAAAATGCTGCAGCACGAGTGCTGACAGGAACCAGAGGAAGAGATCATATCACTCCTGTCTTATCTTCTCTACATTGGCTCCCTGTTAAATTCAGAATAGATTTCAAGATCATGCTCCTCACATTTAAAGCCCTTAACAATCACGCCCCTTCATATATCAAGGAGTTGATAACACCTTATTATCCAAGTAGATCACTTCGTTCCCAAAACACAGGCTCTATAGTGGTTCCAAGAGTCTGTAAGAGTAGAACAGGAGGTAGAACATTTAGCTATCAGGCTCCTCTCCTATGGAACCAGCTCCCACTCTGGGTTAGTTCTAGATCAGGTGAGTCCTGAACCATCTTAGTTATGCTGCTATAGGTCTAGACTGTCAATTATCTCTCTCTCTGTCTCTCTACTCCCACATTTATTTATTTTATTACATGCCAACTCTTTCTCTCTGTCCCTCTCTTTTTGCAGGTATCACTGAGTCCAGAGCGGCAGGATTCAGACAAAAACAATATCATTACTATTATATGAATTTTTGTTGCTATCATTAATAACCTTACACTCTTATTGTTTTCATTATAACTAGTCAGAGCTGAAACCTGATGGTGCACAACTGTTCCTGGTCGCTCTCTCTTCTCTCCCCTCTTTTCCACCCATCTCCCCTCTCTTCCCCGTTTTTCTCTGCTCACCCCAACTGTTTCTCCACAGTCGCCAAAGTGCTGCTCATTGTGGGAACTGATCTATAATGTTCAGGTCTTGACCTTCTATGTAAAGTGAGATAATGTATATTATGATTTGGCGCTATACAAATAAAATTGAATTCAAATTGATTCACTCTTATGATCATTTTCGTAATTTGTGCTGCTGTTGAACTGTATTTCATTTTATTACAGTTCATTCCTATTTATATCAGTGAGGGTGGGAGAAGTGAAACACTGCTCAGTGTAATGACACACAAACACCTGCTGAAATATCCAGTTCTTCTCTCAGCCTGGATCTGGATCAAACTACACCATCAGGTGGATGGAGCTAGAATTGTCTGTGTTGTAGCCATTTCTGAAATATTTGGGTAAATAGAAATACATTGATTATTCGACATGCTTGATTTATTAAGAATATGCATTTTCACATTTACATTGCAGCTTGGGGCTGGACTGGGACCCTTTTGGACTTAAGTCCCAATTGGCTGATGGTTAATGTGCTGTCTGTGCTTGTTTAGTTAGTTTTTTTAAGCTACAGAGCGGAGAGCACACTCGTCATGGACAGTGCTCATATTCACACCACGATCTTTGAGTATATTAATACACATTCTGTTTGTATACTGTGTTACCAGAAGAAAGTTTCAGTAAAGCTACCATAACATTCTTGTTTATGTGAATATATAAATAAATCTAAAATAAACTCCAGGGAGGAAAAACTAATACACGCTAATGACGTGTTAACGGACTCATTAATATTTAAAAGAGAGCTGATGATTGCGGGACCTTTGTGAAACACCCCTACAAACACACACACACAATTAAATATTGAGCAATATACATAAATGTTTGCAACACTGCAGATGAATTTACTCAGTAAAAGAATCAGATCAGTCTTCTGATATTTACAGATGTTTTTATTTCAATGTGTGTGTAGCAAAACATTCACATGTCATAGCAACACATTTTTAAATTTTTTTATTGAAAAAAAAGTTAAGGTTAAAGAAAGTGCCCTTGAAAATTTGTTGTACAAAACTTCACACAACTGGAATTTACAGATTGTATTAAATCACTGTATTTTTCTGGCTGCAGAGCCTGCAGTCATTTGTGTAGGTGTGAGTTTGATCATCTTCTAGTATGTGGGACCGGTTTGAGTTGTATACTTTGGCAGTGAGAAGATTTTGACCAGTCTTCTACACTTTCACAGGGCTGTGTGAGGACCTGTTCTTATGTCTGTATGTTCAGCTGTCGGATCTCGTCCACTCTGTTGCGGTGCAGCTGGAAGGCGGGAGTGACCCAGCGGCCACACGAACACTGATCCCCACACCAGCTGAAAGAGCCCAGCTTAGAGCTGCACTTAGGACACAACAGCTATACACACGAAAACACAGGGAGAGAGGAGAGAAGACACAAACTCAGTACAGATCACAAAACCGTGTGTGTGTGTGTGTGTG